TCCACCTATATCTTGTACTGACCAGCACATCTTCCAGGGCCAGAAATAACCTGCTGTCCTTCACTGGGATACCTTCACCCGAGCTGTTGCACTCCTGATCCGCCCCGTCCAGCCCGCTTTCATCGTTCCAGTGCGGGGGGGCGCCGAAGAACGGCTTATCGAATCCCGCTTCACCTGGAGACTGGAACGCGCCGGCCTGGTAAAAATAATCCGGCCTTGCGCTTCGTGCGTCGCCATCGAAACTCAAATCAAAGGTGGAGCACTGGACACCCTTGTCCGCGGTGTGCCGCTGTAACTTTACAAACTTGGCGTTTTTCCCGAAGCGCGAGTTGGACGTGCAGGTGGCGGCCTCCTTCATAAGGATCGGCCTGGTGAGGACTCCGACGCTGCGCACTCCCCAGTGGGGATCGGTGGTGGTGGCAACATGCCTGACTCGGCGCTCCTCGTCTACACACTCGTCAATCTCTTCTTTGGAAGTAAACGCCGCATGGCAGCCGGTGTCCGCGGCTCCCGCTGGCTGAAGCTCCTCTCCGTCCTCTTCCTCTTTGACGGCGGGATCTTCAAATTTTGGGAAAATGGTCGGCACGGCGTCCGGCTTCAGGTTGACCGCGGAGCCGTGGATGGAATAACTGTCCGGGCCGAAGTGAGAAGAACACATCCAAAAATTCCTCCTATTGCTCAGAATGCGACGCGCCAACAAGTCCGGGTTGCCCAGATGCTGCCCGCTTTGCCGGAGCCAGACCTTCACTTTGGAAAATTCCGTCGGAAAGTTATGCAAGGTCACCCCGGGGTACAGGGGCTGGTCCTCGGCGCCATTCGGACAACCTATGACAAAGCACTTTGGTGTGGCAGCTGCCTGCAGAGACAAGAAATTGGGGTGAATTACAATGTATTCATATTAGGGCGGTTACTGATTAAAATTTTCCTGTTCGAATAATCGATTAATGATAACGCACATACAGATCCAACTACATTGGCCTATACACATACAGCACAGCAATGACCTATACACGTACAGCACAGCAATGACCTATACACATACAGCACAGCAATGACCTATACACATACAGCACAGCAATGACCTATACACATACAGCACAGCAATGACCTATACAC